ATTCGCTGCTTCACGCTCAGGTATACCTTTGTGTGCATGCAATTTAATCACAACGCTCGCAGATACTGCTCTGTGCACTCACGTCGGCCTCTCTCGTGCTCTCTACTGAAGATACGGTTTTAAACCTGTAAGATGTATTTTCACAGAACATCGCTTGCAGTCTGCTTTGCTTTGATTGTCATCATCCATGTGAAATATGTCCAGATCCCTGTCATCTCTTGTCATCTGTTTGTTAGAGCACCAAAATACCCCAGACCCGAGTCGTATACTGTAGTATCATGATATTGGCTGTGAGTATCCGAGCATTTTTATGAACAAGAGTAAATGAGTATCCTAATATCGGTACTGATGCATCCCTATTAAAAACATTTTACTGCTTATAGAGCAGTCACTTGCTGTAATATTAATGCAGTGTGATTTGTCTGATGTTTAGACTTTAAAATTAAATAAAACAAAGTTATTTTGCTCAGATTTTAGACCACTCTAGAATATTTTGTCATTTGTAAATGCATTTCAAAGGTGCAGTCCACCCTGTCTCACTCTCGTTTTATTAAATATGGACTGTATCTCTCTGATTGCACACTAATATATCAAAGACTGCTTACTGAATAACCCCCAGTCTGTAGTGCACTATTTAATTATGAATCAGGCGCATGAAAAACAGCAGAAACGAAACACACGCACAAGAGCTCGGCAACACAAAGGAACGGAAATGCAGGCACTCCATTAAAGTGATGGACAAAAACAGTGTTTACATGTCAGAGGAAGTGCTTTGGATCAAAATGTATGGAAAAACATTTGAACATTAAAGTATGACCTAGAATCGCTACATGGGATTCTTAGGTTGTGAAAAGAAAGATTGAGCTGTGGTGTATTTTATTAAATGAAAAAAGGGTTCCTCGTCAGGTTTGCAGTTTTCAGACTTTTGAACCACCCAGCTACGCTGACGTTAAACATAACAGGAGCCTGAAGCCTATCCCAAGGAACTCGGGACACAAGGCAGGAGACACCCTGGATGGAGTGCCGACCCATCGCAGGGTACAATCGCACACATACCTGCACACTATGGACAATTTAGAAATGCCAATCAGCCGACAATGCACGTCTTTGGACTGGGGGAGGAAACCGGAGTACCCTGAGGAAAACCCTGAAGCATGAGGAGAACATTCGTACTCCACACACACAGGGCAACGGTGGGAATTGAAGTCTTACGGTTCTTGAGCGTCACTTGTTACTACATGAATCCAGGGTATTTGCAACAGGTTTGCTCATTCTGACGCCTGTTCTTTATATATGACATACATATGACGTACACAAAATGGCCAAAAGTTTGGGGACGCCTAACCATATGTTGGCCTTCCCCAAAATGTTGCCACAAAGTTGGAACCAAAGAATTGTCTAGAATGTCTTTGTATGTAGCGTTAAGATCGTCCTTTGATGGAACTAAGGGGTCAAAACCTGTTCCAGCATGACCGCTCCTGTGCACAAAGTGAGGTTTACAAAGATATGCCGTGCATCTGAAATCGTTTACTGTGACAGTACTTACTGCATTCGATTCAGTACCTACTGCACGGCTGTTGATACAGTACATATACTGATCAGTATATGTGTGTAATATGAATACAATCCAGACATGCTACTGTACGTCCGCCATATTGGCGTTCTCATGTGACCTATGACATAATAATACCTGCAAATACAGCACTTGACTGTTTTTTCTTGTTTAAACCAACAAATTAACAATTTACTCAGGTGTTGTTAAACAGGTATGGTTGAACCACAAGCAACAACGTTTAATACCTTTAATACGACATGTTGCCAGCACCATTTTTGATTCTGACAGCGCTTCTACGCCAGTCTCGTATATATCGGGATATATGGACATAGCTATTTTTTGCCAAGGTTGGTGTGGAAGAACTCGTGTGGCCTGCACAGAACCCTGACCTCAATATCTCTGAACATCTTTGTGATGAACTGGAATGCAGACTGCACCCCAGGCCTCCTCACCCAACATCACTGCCTGACCTCACTAATGCTCTTATGGCTGAATGGCCAAAAATCCCCATAGCCACACTCTAAAATCAAGTGGAAATCCTTCCTAGAAGACTGGAGTTTATTATACTAGCAAACAGGAACAAAATCTAGAATGTGCTGTTCAACATGCACATATAGGTGTGATTGGTTAGGTGTTCATGTACAATTGGCCATGTAGTGTATCTGTAATAATAATAATAATAATAATAATAATTTTAGAACCTTGGTGAATCTGGGTAGTGCAACAGAAACATGAGGTCACGAGCCCCAAATCCCTCTGAGTAGGAAGGATGGCATACTCCCTGTCAATCAAACGGACCCTAGCCAATCATGTGTGAGGTTATGAGCGTGGAAGAGGGCAGATAGCGCTTTCCTGTGATGCAGCATGCGGTTGGCTGGCTTCGTGTGTCTCAAAGGAAGCATGTGATAGCCTTCACCCTTCCCCCTTCCCAGCTAGTAGCTGTCATTTGATTGGCAGCTGATCAAAATTGAGGAGAGAAATTGGAGAAACACTGTATAATGTTACGTTTGCAAGAAGACAGTATAAGTAACAGGGTAAGACAGCAAGAAGACTGTAAGTACAAAGCTATAGGTTTTATCTGAGCTTTTGCTTTTGGCTGATTTGGCAACCCTGATACTGACTAAACGTGATTGCAAGCGGTCTGTGGAGATACATTTGAGACATACGTGGAAATCCAGTCCACTATCAAATCCCTCGAGACACATCACACATGTTTATGAGATAAATTGTTTCCCCACATGTATTCATTATCTGCAGTGAGTGACGGTTAATGGACGTTATGATGAAGTAAAACAGACTCGGTGCTGTTTCCAGGTTTGAGCAAACCCATAGAAAACTCAAAGAAGTAATGTGAGGAGTCGTGGACACATGTCCACGTTAGAAATGTTAGGAATCAAACGTATAACTGTGGCATTTGAATGATGAATGAAGTTATACGTTATAAATGTGTGAATGAAACTGTTCTGATGGACGTCCTCCTCTGAATTCATCCTCCTCCTGAAAGAGTTCCTGACCTGATTTTTACATTTTACAGTAAAAACTTCCTCAGTTCATTAAAGATCCCTACTATGACTGAGCGCCCTTTTCATATTACTGTCTGGCTGGATGTATACTGCTGTGACTAGCGCTTCCTTCCTTAGTTCCTGGATTTGTTCTTGCTATTCTTAATCTTGCTTCCTTCATCCAATTTATTTCCTTCTCTCTCTCTCTCTCTCTCTCTCTCTCCGTTCCTGTCTGCTTCTCACTTTGTTCCTATCTTTCTTTTTTCTTTCTTTCTCCATGTAGTCCATCCCTTGTCCATGCTTTCTTCCTCCCTTCATTTGTTTTCTCTGTTCTTCTCGTTTCTTCCTTCATCAGCTTTGTTTCTTTTCCCCAGTTTCCTTCCTTACCTTCTTTCCTTCCGTTCTGTTTTCTTCAATCTTTTCTTTCTTCCTTCCGTCCTTCATAGATTCTTTCTATCTTTTTTTCTTTCGTTCTTCATCTTGCTTCCTTCATCCGGTTTATTTCCTTCTAAGCTTCCTTCCTTTTGCTCACTTCCAAACCTCTTCTTGTTTCTCTCTGTCTCTCTCTCTCTCTCTCTTTCTATTTTCCTGTCTGCTTCTAACTCCGTTCCATACTTTCTTTCTTTCACCATGTAGTATTTTCCTTCCTTCCTGCCTTCATTTGTTTTCTCTGTTCTTCACTTTTCTTCCTTCATCAGCTTTGTTTTCATTTTCCAATTTCCTTCCTTCCTTTCCTTCTTTCCTGCCGTTCTGTTTCCTTCCTTCTATCCTTCATAGATTATTTCTTTCTTTCTTTCTTTCTTTCTCTTTCATCATCTAGTCTATTTCTTTTCCTTCCTTCCTTCCCTCCTTCCTTGCTTCATATATTTGTTCTCTCTATTCATCTGCTTCATCTGCTTCATCTGCTTTATTTCCTTCCTTCTGCTCACTTCCTCTTCTTCTTTTCTTTCACTTTTCTTGTCTGCCTCTCACTCTGTTCCATATTTCCAATTTCTTTCTTTCTTTCTTTCTTTCTTTCTTTCTTTCTCGTGAAATGGGAAAGAAAACCATTTCTATGCTGTTCATAAATTCTCTTTGAGAATCACTGAATCACGGTGATAAATATTATAGATTTCAAACATTGACTGAACAAAATATATTTTAGACATTGTAGCTGTAATTTCCAGTAAAAATCTGTGCTGTGTGCATGTTCATACCGGAAAGATACCGGAAAGTAGTGTCTGACCTTTTCACATTTCAGACTGGCGTGTGTGTGTGTGTGTGTGTGTTGTGCTCCACCAGTCACTAGCCAACAGAGGTGAAGGTCATCTCATTAGCTCATCTCAGTCTCACACAGCGAGAGAAGGAAAGCAGGACAGAGCAAGTGAGAATGAGAAAAACAAGGGAAAGTGGACTAAAGGAATACTCAAACAGTCTTCAGCTTTGTCTCGATGTATTTATCTGTTCTATATATATTTATATATATATAAATAAAACCTAACAGAGCGGGCTGTTACAAGAAAACAATTAATAACAGGTGTAGTGGCTTGATGTGAAGCAGAGTTACTGTTTCTACCCTAAAGTTTATTATTTTACAATAATAACACACTTCAACCTGTTTTATTCATCTTCTATCAAAGTAATTTGTTTTCTGATTTTTTTGTTTATTAAAGAATGTTTTTTTTCCAGTTACAATTTATGTTAGTTTGTTCCCTCATCAGCATCTCTTTTTTCTCTGTCTACAAAGCGCAAAATGTTACGTCCTGTCTCCTGAATACTTTCCCCATGGTGGAAAATGAAGGAAGGAATTTTAACTTAAAAAGTAAGTGCTGATACTGGAGACTCCTTCCATGAATGTTAAACATCTCCTGTAATAAAGAATCACCATATTGATTATGATGTGATCACCATATGATTAGAGCTTTTTTTGTTTTGTTTTGTTAAACAACAACAGATTTTGGGGAGCATGGTGGCTTAGTGGTTAGCATGTTGCTAACGTTGCACCTCCAGGGTTGGGGGTTCGAATCCCACCCTGTGTGTGCACATAGATTGCATGTTCTCCCTATGCCTTAGGGTTTCTATACCCTATACTCCAGTTTCTTTCTCCAAGCCAAAGACATGTGTTGCAGGCTGTAGGCATTTCCAAATTGTCTGTAGTGTGTGAATGGGTGTGCAGTTGTGCCTGCGATACGTGGGCACTCTGTCCAGGGTGTCCCCCTCCTTGGGTTACCAAGCTCCCCATAACACTGTGTAGGATAAACAGTACAGAAAAAGGATGGAACAATGAATTATTATTTTTTTTACAATTTTTTATTGTTAGACTTCATTTATGCGGATGTCCCTGTGTAAGTTGTTACTGCAGAAACATGTGTTGGACAGTCCCTCCGGTATTTCATGATTTTGCGATCGCAGAATTTAACGCAATATCAAGGCAACTTTTAACACAGATTTTCTACAGGTTTGGGCCAAGACACTGCTTGTGACATCACAACGCACATTCAGTCAAAACCCCCTTTCGATTCACGTGCGTCAATCATAAATACAGCTAAAACGTCTCATTTACCATCAAACATCACAGTGAAAGACCGTACTAAACAATTTTGTTCAATTGCAATTTCACCAATTCAAGTAGTTTTCCACAAAAAACACACAAACATTTAGCAAAATCAAGCATTTTTGTCGGCAACAATCACAAAAGCACTCTGATATGTACACTATACACTGTGGTATAAAACCTTAACAATGTTAATCACACATAAGTATTACCTAAACACTAAAGTATTTCTTCAAACCCTGGATGTATTCCTGACTCGATTCCTGGAAGAGCTCCTCACTGCAGAGTTCTGCTTTCTAGCCCATTTACCACACCTGATTGAACTCATTATCTAATTCCCAAGGCCTTCATGAGCTGATGTTGGTGTGTTATAAGAAGTAAACACAAAGCTCTGTAGGGTTGTGGTCCTCCAGGACCTGACGTTTGACAGCCCTGAGTGAAGGTTTGTGGAAAGACTAACAAACATCAAGCTATATTTTAAAATGATATACCACTGAGATTGCAGTGTAATTTAGATAAAGATTCCTTGATTATTAATTGAGTATTTACAGCATGTATCATGTAGAAGTGGTATGGCTTTGTTGATTGGATTTGTCCAGACATCTCAGTATTGGTAGTCTAATACACACTGCACATTTATTCATTTTTAATGGTTGCACGGATGTTAATTTTTAGTAGATGTCCAAGCATCTTTTGCATAGTTGAAGCAAAAGCTGATTCAGGGGCTTCTGAGTGCATCAGGAAAGCGTTCACGTTATCATCAGGAGATTGCAAGTTTGAATCCAGATGATGCCACAGCCATCCATGGCTGGGAGAGGGATATACTTTCTATACTCTCTCTCTCTCTGTTCTGTCAATCACAGTGACTCTAACCAATCATGGGCAACTTTGAGCTGAAATACGTATTTTCAGGCAGAAATGTCCCATGGATTATATCTTGTACCTGTGCACACTGTTTCAGACATTTTAATTGCATGGTCTGCTAATGAAACTTATAAAGGAATGAAAGATAACACGATGGATGAAGCTATGAAAAGCAGCTGTTTTCATGTCCGCTGTTATAGCGTCGTCTTTATCTATTCTTTATCCGGTTCTACCCTTCAGCGTGATTTTCAAACAGACTCGTAGTAATTACATTTTCCAGCTAAGCCAACGACGCTGTTGATTTCGTGCTCACAACAGTGATATGACCATATGCGTACTAGGGCACCTCTGAATGTGATGGTTGGATCACAGTGCATCTTCGAGACACATTTGACCCTGTTCACGTCTGTACTTAGCTCTAAACACTTGTGAGCCGATCACCCAGGATGCATGTTTATGCCGAGTGTGAATGGGGCCTTACTTGTTAAACTGGCTATACCAATATCCGAAATCCTGTGATGCTAGTTGACGTGAGCTAAGTGCATGTCGTCATGCCAATGAAATTTCGTATTTCACAAGTAATTATTGCGATCAAACAAAGCAGACTGCAAACTGTGGTCTGTGGAAATCTCAAGAGGAGGAACTACAGCATTTGTTTACAGCACAAATAGCCTGATAAAACTTTATGGTGATTAAACAGTATCTTTGATAGAGAGCGTGACAGCCGACGTGGGTGAGCCTGATCATCGTACGGAAGGGTTGCCTGTCTTCCTGTCTGTTACAGACTCTCTGAGGCAGCAGTGTGGCTTTTCAGCTGCATCTGTTTCATGGTCAGGTTCCCAGGCCACTCTGATTGTCTGCCTTCATTCCTGGCCTTTTATCTTTTGCAGTTGGTGTAAATGGTCTCGCTGGTGATATCTCCACCAGTGTTTTCTCAGGCCGGGGTCAGGAAGTACAACCTCATTTCTCTCAGTCATCTCAGAAAATCTCCTCAAGGCTATCAAGCATTGTTCCACTCATTGTGTGGATCCCCCTGGTGTGTGACCCATCTGAATGAAGAAGTCGTGTCAGCTGTCTGGCTGTGTGGATGATACATGACAGAGATGCTGGATTCCAAGCGTGATCTTCTCAAATGGGCTGAGCACTTGGACGAGGTGTGTCATGATGTTCCTTGTAGCAGTTTCAAGTTTGACAGGTGTATCGTCCATGATCATGAGCGTACACATCTCTGCATTGTGTGCAGCATGGGTGTAACACAAGGCCACTATATCACTCCATATCTGTTTAGTGCACCAATTGGATTTAAACCAAAAGTGAATGTGGAAGGATTTTCTTTCGTTCTTTCTTTCTTGCTTGCTTTTTTCTTTCCTGTTTTTCACCCTCTTTCTATTTGCTTTAGTGTTTCATAGTTCTCACTTTTTCTCAGATTTATTTCCTTACTAATTTCCTTCCTTTCTGCCCACTTCCACCTTTCTGTGTTTTACTGTTTGCATCTTCCCTACTTCCTTTTTTTCCTTCCTTCCTATTAAGTTCACCAGTATGCTTGCTGGAACAATAAATGGAGGTAGAAATGCCTGCAATGAAAGCATAATGTCTGGCTTCTGACAGTTCCTCAACCTCAGCTACATTGCTCGAGTTCATAATTGGTCTTAACTACAGATTTTGGTCAGACTCGTTTTTGCCTGTCCTTCATATTTTCTAATGAATTTAGTTGGATCTTTTTTAGCAAAATATAAACAACCTAGTATACACATTTAAACCACTGTGATATAAAATGCAGCATGCACATTCATATTTTTGAACATTGTCCTTCGAGCTTCTGACCACTCACTCGCATCCCCTTGAAAGTAATAACCGCATTTGTTTTGGGATACCAGTTCTAATACCAGTGTTGCTTGAGATACCAGGTCTAATACCAGTGTGTCTTGGGATACCAGGTCTACTACCAGTGTCTCTTGGGATACCAGGTCTAATACCAGGGTCACTTAAGATACCAGGTCTAATACCAGTGTCACTTGGTATACCAGGTCTAATACCAAGGTCACTTAAGATACCAGGTATAATACCAATGTTACTTGGGATACCAGGTCTAATACCAGTGTCGCTTGAGATACCAGGTCTAATACCAGGGTCACTTAAGATACCAGGTCTAATACCAGTGTCGCTTGGGATACCAGGTTTAATACCACTGTCGCTTAAGATAACAGGTCTAATACCAGTGTTGCTTGGGATACCAGGTCTAATACCAGTGTCGCTTGGGATACCAGGTTTAATACCACTGTCGCTTAAGATAACAGGTCTAATACCAGTGTTGCTTGGGATACCAGGTCTAATACCAGTGTTGCTTGGGATACCAGGTTTAATACCACTGTCGCTTAAGATAACAGGTCTAATACCAGTGTTGCTTGGGATACCAGGTCTAATACCAGTGTTGCTTGGGATACCAGGTCTAATACCAGTGTCACTTGGGACACCAGGTCTTATACCAGTGTTGCTTGGGACACCAGGTCTTATACCAGTGTTGCTTGGGATACCAGGTCTATTACCAGTGTCACTTGGGACACCAGGTCTTATACCAGTGTTGCTTGAGATATCAGGTCTATTACCAGTGTCACTTGGGACACCAGGTCTTATACCAGTGTTGCTTGAGATACCAGTCCCGATACCATTGTTGCTTGGGAAACCAGTCTAAATACCAGTGACATTTTGGATGTCAGTTCTAATACCAGTGTTGCTTGGGATACCAGTTCTGCTGCACACCTCTAGTCTCAAGCAGATGACCCGTGATCCTTTCTGGCAAGCAAAAAACAAGCAGTGCCCTATTTGTACCTGTAATTATATCTACAGAGAGCACATTATTTGTTCATTCTGAATAATATCTTCATATTCAGTTACATCCCTAGTGTGCAGGTTGGTATGTCTTCCCAGTGTACTCTCCTCTATGCGCTTTAGTTGTGGCTTTCACACTGAGCACACCTGAATTCTTTTACAGTCAATAAAACGAGTTGTTAAGCTCATGCCCAGCAATCAGTAGTAAAGGAAATGCTGCCAGTGTTTTCAGAGAACAGTAACTCCTTCACCGCATGATCTTTATCTTCGCTTCACTGTACCATTTTATGCTGTAATCCTACATTTTGCCCAGTATTATATGACAGAAAGTCTTTTGCTCTTATTTGCATGATTGTTCTGTCAAACCTCTTTGTGGCATTTGGTGTCCAATGGGTAGTTTCGTCAGAAACGTGTTGGAGAATTTGTCACAGTTGTGGCCATAAGGTGTTCTTTTGCTTGAACCCTGTTCACAATTTGACGGATAGGAAATGCTGACGATCCGTCATTGAGCTAAAATTTTGGTGGAATAAGTGCAAATAATTTTTCTTTCTTTTTGAGTGCTGTGCATCTCATAATTAAATTAAAATGCATGCCTGTTTTCACAGATGGTGCTGCACACATCAGTGGCAACCTGACTCAATCACATGACAGATACAGATTAAATACCTAGACCCATGATCAGTCAAAAATATTTGCATTACCAATGCATTTTAAGGATTATGCTGAATGTTTATGTTGTTTCCAAACTAAACAAGTCACCAATAATTTGTCAAAGTACCATGCGATCTCTGC